CTCAGTGATATTTAATAATACTTGTGTTTCAAAAGTATTTTTGAGTCTTTTCTCTGCAGTAGCCTGACACAGCTGAATTTAATGTTCCTTCTGTCTGGGCAGAATTTGAGGTGTTGACTTTCAGCTTTAAGCATGACCAGGTCTAGGATCTGACTATGCCAAAGATCTCGTTCTCTGTGATCCATCTCACCAGTACTTAAGTCAAGGTGCTGCTCCTGACAAATTCTCTGTTTAAACCCCCAAGGACCTTCTCTGCAGAAGTAGATGAGCTGGCAATCTTTGCACAGGCAGTGGTACCAGGCTAGTCTGCTACTTACTAGAGCAGGTACACTCTGATTCTGCTGGGTCTGGTCTCTGCAAACCCTCACTGTTACTGGGATGTAGTTTATCTAAACACTTCTCAGTTATCCAAGTCTCCCTTCCTCCTTTTGACAATGGTACTGAAAGTGAAAAGATTTAATTTAATTCTGTGCACTGCTCCAAGCCTCTGACATCTAGACTTTGCTACATTTAGAGAGTAGAAAAAATCAGGTAAAAATGATGATGCAGCTACAACAGGCAGGGTAAGTGCACAAGTCCCATACAGTTTCAGAAGCCTGTGACCTCAAGGTCAAGGTCAGACTAAAACAAAGGCACTGCTGTGCACCCATATGGTGTGAGAGCAGCTAAGCATGTACAGAACCAGCACAAGGCACAGCTCCTTTTAGAGGGAGACTGAAGTGCTGCTGGCACGGCAAGGCAAAAGCTTAAGATTCTGTCTAGGTTAATTATCATCTTTCTGCAGGCTCAAAGAAGCTTATGAGAACACAGCAGCGAGGCAGAATTCTCCTCCTGTGCTTCCACCTACAGAAACTCATCCCTTCCTGACCTGCCCCTACCTCCCTCCCCACACACCCCAGAGATTCTGCAGAATCAAGCATTAAAAAATCCCCACCCAGCAGAGACCAAGCTGTGAGCTGTTCTCCTGGCAGGAGGCAGGGCCCTGCCTCCCTGTGCTCAGGCAGCAGCACCCACTGACTGCAGGAATGGCAGCAGCACTGCAGGCATGGCAGCAGCACCCACTGACTGCAGGCATGCAGCATCCACTGACTGCAGGCATGCAGCAGCAGTGCAGGAATGGAGACTGAAGTGCTGCTGGCACGGCAAGGCAAAAGCTTAAGATTCTGTCTAGGTTAATTATCATCTTTCTGCAGGCTCAAAGAAGCTTATGAGAACACAGCAGCGAGGCAGAATTCTCCTCCTGTGCTTCCACCTACAGAAACTCATCCCTTCCTGACCTGCCCCTACCTCCCTCCCCACACACCCCAGAGATTCTGCAGAATCAAGCATTAAAAAATCCCCACCCAGCAGAGACCAAGCTGTGAGCTGTTCTCCTGGCAGGAGGCAGGGCCCTGCCTCCCTGTGCTCAGGCAGCAGCACCCACTGACTGCAGGAATGGCAGCAGCACTGCAGGCATGGCAGCAGCACCCACTGACTGCAGGAATGGCAGCAGCACTGCAGGCATGGCAGCAGCACCCACTGACTGCAGGCATGCAGCAGCAGTGCAGGAATGGCAGCACACTCCCAGCAGGGCAGCAGCACTGCAGGCAGGGCAGCACACTCCCAGCAGGGCAGCAGCAGTGCAGGATGGCAGGCACACTCCCAGCAGGGCAGCAGCAGTGCAGGCATGCAGCAGCACTGCAGGAATGGCAGCAGCAGCCACTGACTGCAGGCATGCAGCAGCACTGCAGGCATGGCAGCAGCACCCACTGACTGCAGGCATGCAGCAGCACTGCAGGCATGGCAGCAGCAGCCACTGACTGCAAGCGTGCAGCAGCACTGCAGGCATGCAGCAGCAGTGCAGGAATGGCAGCAGCAGTGCAGGATGGCAGCACACTCCCAGCAGGGCAGCAGCAGTGCAGGCATGCAGCAGCAGTACAGGATGGCAGCAGCACTGCAGGAATAGCAGCACACTCCCAGCAGGGCAGCAGCAGTGCAGGCATGCAGCAGCAGTACAGGATGGCAGCAGCACTGCAGGAATAGCAGCACACTCCCAGCAGGGCAGCAGCAGTGCAGGCAGGCAGCAGCAGTGCAGGCATGCAGCAGCAGTGCAGGATGGCAGCACACTCCCAGCAGGGCAGCAGCCACCAGCCCCTGGCTGCACACAGCAGCAGGGACACAGCGTGTCTGTGCTCAGGCTCTCGGGAGCAGCACCGAAGGCTGAAGGCACAGGCTCAGCTCCCACTGCCCACCCCGGTCACAGTCAGGGCCACTGACACTGTGCCCCCTGATCTGGAGGTCACAGGCAAAGCTGAGCACGGATTAGAGCCCAGTCAGCAGCAACAGAGCTCCCGTGTCCTCCCTGAGGAGTCACTCCCTGCACTCCATTCCAAGGCACAGACAGGATCCTCTCCTCCCCTCTGGGCACTGCTGCACTTGAAACTGCATCAGCAGAGAGCAGCAGGAACTGCAGATGGTGAAAACCTGAAGTACACAGGCATCAGTCCACATCTGGGTTGGAGTCTCTATTACAATTGGAAAACAAGGGCTGAAAGTATATTTTCTGAGTTTCACATGCCTCTAGAGCACCATTTAGTACCAAGGAGATGTCAAGGCAGCAAAAAGCTCTGTGCATAGAACCATTTCATGCTGATACACGAGGCAGCCTGTGAGCAGGCCAGGTTATAAAGCACAAATTTTATTTTCTCTTTTCCTAAATAAACAATTCCCAAATTGAAGTTCTTCAGGCTACAAAGGAAACCAGCCAGGTTGTTTACAACATGCAGCAGGAATCCTGCTTAGGGCAAATCAGCTGCAGAGCAAATGAAAGCAGAGCTCAGGAGGCAGGAGATGATTTCTGTCTTTGCATGGGAACCTACCTCAGTCTGGCAGGAAACAGATCCAAGCTCCTGCCTTGGTAAGCAACAACACTGCTCCTCCCTGCTATCCAGCACTTTGTTATTTGTAAAACTCTAATTCATAACTGCTCTGCAGCTTTAATTGGGCTTCCTAAACGCCCTTTTTTAGCCTCCAAGCTTTGGTACACTTTGTTTCTGATGGTAACAGTGAGGAAAAGATGCTACTCACTAGGGACTTCCTTTTGTGCAGACTGAACAGACCTCAGGATTCCTTAAACTTCCAGAAACTGTTCTTCCTGCACTCCTGGTTTCTGCTGGTCCCAGTGCCCTGCAGCCCTTTCTGCTCTGCTACAGTTCTTGAGGAGGCAAGAGACCAAAAAGAAAGCTGAAGGACTGATCTTAAATGACTCCAAATCATATTCCTTTCCCTGCCAGTGTATTTCATAAATAATTTCTAAGGTATTTTATACATTTAATTCAAAGCCTTTAACTTCTAGCCTTTATTTTTCCCTTTTGCAGTGCAGAACACTGGGAACCTCAGGCATGGCAGGTTCTATTCTTGTAAGGGATTCTCAGCAGCCACAGGAATTGATCCCACGTATGATCCCAATGTCTCATTCAGACAATTTCTGCTATAGGTGATGGGTCTTTCTACTTCACGGGCCATTAAATCTTCAGCCTTTAATGGAACCAATTAGGCTGCTGGTGAATTAAAAAATACTTTGTGGAACTGAAACAGATTTAATGGTCAAGCATTAGCAACTCTCACACAGGCCATGGAGGATACTTCTAGTAACTGCTTACCTTAGGTAGGAACAAAAAATCTCAAGAGCTTTTGTAATTTAATTAGTGATCCAAGCTTCTTTCAGGCAGTGTCTCCCTCCAAAGTGTTGCTGTGCCTCCAGCTCACAGGTTCTGTCACTGCAGGGTTATTTTAGGACCTGGGAGAATCAGACTGCAGGCCTGTGTGAATGGTGGAGCCCCATTTCCATTCACAACAGGCCATGCTCAGACACACTGAGCTTCCAACAACTGCAGCACCTGCTGCCCACCTGGGCAGAGGAGGGGTGGCACTCAGCTCTGAATCTTCTCCTCAAGCTCTGCAAAACACAGTGTGTTATGGGAGGCAGATGAGCAGCTTGGCAGCCAAAGTACAATAGCACATTTCGAATCTCTAAAGGAACATTTCTCCCCAAAAGACCACCCAAAGAGCCTGTGCTTTTCTTGGAAGATGCCTCAAAAGCTTTTACACTCCCTTTCTAAATGCCTTAAGCACTATATGGTTGATAATTGGACTACAAAGCCTTTTCTAGTCAAAAACATATTTCAAGTTAGATCTGTGCTCAACTCTGGCCTCTAAAACATTTTATTTCCTGGTTTTATTAGCAATGGTTTACTTGGGAAGGCAAAAGCACAACAGCAAAGCTAGAGAAATTTGTACAAACAATAAACAAGTCCACCGTGCTGATGTCCTGAGCCTTTCTCAAAGGTGAAGCCAGGTGTTCTTCATTTGGCAGCTGAGCAGTGTAATAAATCAATATGAAACAAGAGTAGATATTAAAAACTGTATTTCCCCCCCTCCCCAACAGTTACATTTTTAGTGAAAATATGAAACCACATGAACAGTTCACTTTCCTTCTTGAAAAGCCTCAATGTCAGCACTGGGAGGCCACCCCAGAGCAGCCAGAGTCACAGGGACCCCTCAGTTAACACTGCCCCCCTCTGCACCAAATTCACATTAAAGTGCTTCTCAGGCAACCAAGCCAAAATCTAGAGAATCCTTTGGGCTCATTCCTGGTTTATTTTAATAAAGAAATTTCTTATCTGGCCCCAACAAAAAGGGGTAAAAGATTTACTTTCACATAGAACTTTACAAAGCTGCAACTGAATCAAAAGGAGCATTTTCATAAATAGATGTACAGTTGCTCTCATTACACAGTATTTATTTGCTCAAGATCATTTCTTCCTTGTGCTCACAAGTCTGTTCTTCCTTTTGCAGACAGTCCATGGTTTCTCTCCAGCTTTTCCCCCATTTTGAGACCACAACAGCATCCTGTCAGCAGAATTTCTGGCCATGAAAATGGTCACGTTCTCACAGTTAGATTCCAGAATTGTCACTGTAAATAATTAACAACCATAGGAAAAGAACCAGGAACAGGTAGATTGAGTTCAGCTTTAATAGATTCTGAAACATCTCGAAGTCAGTGCAACCCACAGCAAAATCCAGAAGTTTTGTAAAAACCACCTGCACACATGAGAGGAAATGAAGTGCCTGGTTTTAGGCAGCAGTGCTGGAGACTACATGCAGACTCCTGAGCAGTCAGTGCACCTCGGGACTTCCACTGCAGGTTTTTCAGTCTGTCAAGGTCTGTGTGTGTGTCTGGAGGCCCTGCAGCTGCAGAGAGAACCTGAGAGTGTCACCTGCACACTCAGGGCTGGACAGCCTGAAGCAGCACTGCTGCCTCCTGCAACAGTGCCTCAGGAACATGCTGCTAGCCTAGGACCCAGAGGATTTCCCTACCACCAAGCAGCTGCAAGGAGGGAAACCATGTGCAGTTTTTCAAGTGACTAGAAACTTCAGTTTATTAAAGCCCAGTGCAAGCTGGATTTAAGTCAATGATCATTAATTGTTCCTAATGTGAGAGCTAGTCTTGTGCAGCAGTCAAAGGGTTAAAGTGGGACTCTGCAGTATTTTAAACAAGTTCACATATTCTCTATACAAATTTGGCAAACTCATGTCACAGCCTTAGATCTCACTCTTGCAATTCCTGCAAAACATCTCCAGCTCCTGTGAGGGAAGCAGGGAGGAGCCCCCGGGCAGAGGAGTGCCAGGGCTGGGCACAGCCCCCTGCCCACCAGGGCTGGGCACAGCCCCCTGCCCACCAGGCTGGGCACCCTCGGCCTCCAGCCTGGCCAGGTGGACTTCTTGAACCAAATCTGCTTTGACACATGCTCCCAAAAGAGCTCCAGGCCAGAGAGCAGCTGAGTATGGAAAAACTGATTCCATCAGAAACACTGCAGCCAAAAGGAAATCAAACCATGACTTCAAAGCCAATCAAAAAACCAAAACAACCCCCCAAAAGCAAGCGTTTATATGTGTGTAGATGTAATAAATATTGCAAAGCACATTTGTCTTTTCCCCCCCAAGTCAAAAAGTATAAAGAAATAACCAATGCACCAAAACATCAGCTTCCTGCAATGAAAACGTTGGAGTCAGCAAAATACCTGCAAGCCAACTGAAGGGAAAGCTTTTGCATTGTCACCCAACCACAAGTTGCTTCCAGTTCTATGCAGCCAAATCAAACCCTCTTCAAATTCACAAGTTTGACCTAAATAAGCACCACAGCATGAAAAGCTTCTTTAGAAGTAGGATGTCAAGAGACTTTGTTTAAAATATAAAATAAAACGTGAGATAAAAGGTTTCCATTGGTCAAGTTTGAAAAATTGCCTTCCTTTATCCAACCACAGCCTGTCCCTTTGAGCCAACCAAAACCACACCTTTAGGTTTGTCCTGAATGAACACAGCCCGGCTGAGCTGCAAAATCTGACAGGAACAGATGGCTGTGAGATGCATTCTGAGGGTTGGGCAAAGGGAAACAACATTACAAAGGAGAAGGAATACCAAGGAACAATTAGGGTGGACAGAGGAACTTATTAATGCTCAGCCATCCTCCTCTATCTTCAGGAATCTCACTGTCCTCTCCAGTTCTGTGTTGTTCAGGTGTCCTGCAGTTACTGTCTTCTGTCTTCTGTCTCTGACCTGGAAAATGCCATCACAACATCCTCAGCACCTGCAACAACAATGGATACAGGAAATCTGTGCCATAATTACTTCCTTTAGAGAGCAGGGGAGAGATGCAGTGCCCACAGTGTCATTCTACACATCCACACAACCACCAGGAAAGCAAAGGACGAAGCAGGAATGCCAAAACCACCACCACTGCCTGTCCCAGCCAGGTCACTGCTCAGCTCCACAGAATCCTCTTCCAGGCCTTTGCAAAGTTCAAATTCAACTCAGATGGAGCATCAGCCTGCAAAATCCCTCCAGTCTTTGACCTGAAGCCTATCAAGAAGCGAATCTCAGTTTTGTGCCCCAAGCAACTTCTGCACACAAGGTAAAAAGGACTAATAAAAATGCCTCATCTGTTCTCACTGTAAGATTTCCATTTCTCACTTATCTGATCTGCTCTTCAGTTGCAATATAGCAAGAAAAGTGGTCAAAATGGTTGTAAATTCCCCTTGCTAATGTCCTTAAAAGCTAAATCAATGCTCCTGAAATGCAACTGCACTTACTTTTATACACGTCACAATTTATTTGTTATATGTACTCAAAGGAGGAAATATTAAGGACCAAGCAGTAGTAGTTTGTTTTTCATATTTAGGGCCCTTATCTTATATAAAACTACATCAAAAACTGCTCTGATGCACCCACTTGCCAGCATTCAGAGGCCCTGCAGTCATCTCCCTTTTCATCTCCTGCACAAACTGTTTCTTCCTTGATCAAAACATAAATGATATACAGCACCAGCATCCAGCTCAGCATTAACAAGCTGCCTTGTTGGTTTTAAAACATGCAGGAACTACCAGCTCCTGAAGAAAAACAAGGGTTTCACTTGCAGGGACTGTGACAAAGCCTGGATGCTGGGGAGGGAGAGCCAAGCAGAGAGGCCAGGGCAGCTGCAGCAGCAGCTCTGGCACCCAGGGCTCCTCACCAGGGTCCCTTGAAGGTGCAGGAGCAGCTGGAGTCACCAGAGGCTCCCCCAGCACAGCCATCAGCTGCACTCCTGCCCAGATCTGATTGCTCTCCTGGGCTCTCCCCAACATTCCCACAGGTTTCCTTCAGTCCCACGCAGGAAAGGAGGTGCACCCCAGACACCCCACAGCCCCTGCTCCTGCCTGCCCAGCAGGAACCTCCCAGAGGCCACTGAGGCCACGTCTGCAGGTGTCCCCCAGCAACAGAACCTGGGTGACATTTGTCCAGAAAAAGGTCATCCACGTTTCTCAGCATAACAGCAGGTTTTGTTCCAGCCCTGTCCTATAACCCAAACTACCAGAGCCAAAGGAGACCGAGCTAACGAGGCTGCTAATGAAGCAGCTCCAGAGCTGTGTACAGGCACCAACACTGCCAGAGACCAGAGCTGTGTACAGGCACCACCACCGCCAGAGACCAGAGCTGTGTACAGGCACCACCACCGCCAGAGACCAGAGCTGTGTACAGGCACCACCACCGCCAGAGACCAGAGCTGTGTACAGGCACCACCACCGCCAGAGACCAGAGCTGTGTACAGGCACCACCACCGCCAGAGACCAGAGCTGTGTACAGGCACCACCACCGCCAGAGACCAGAGCTGTGTACAGGCACCACCACCGCCAGAGACCAGAGCTGTGTACAGGCACCACCACCGCCAGAGACCAGAGCTGTGTACAGGCACCACCACCGCCAGAGACCAGAGCTGTGTACAGGCACCACCACCGCCAGAGACCAGAGCTGTGTACAGGCACCACCACCGCCAGAGACCAGAGCTGTGTACAGGCACCACCACCGCCAGAGACCAGAGCTGTGTACAGGCACCACCACCGCCAGAGACCAGAGCTGTGTACAGGCACCACCACCGCCAGAGACCAGAGCTGTGTACAGGCACCAACACTGCGAGAGAACAGAGCTGTGTACAGGCACTAACACTGCCAGACCAGAGCTGTGTACAGACACCAACAGTGCCAGAGAACAGAGCTGTGTACAGGCACAAACACTGCCAGAGAACAGAGCTGTGTACAGGCACAAACACTGCCAGAGACCAGAGCTGGGCCTCCTGGCTGCTGAAGAGAAGGCAGAACCTGAGCTGCTCCTGCAGGCCCACTTGGCTCCCACAACGGATGTTTTCTTCCTGATCAAGTGAAGTAATGTAAAAAGCAGAGCACAGGTTATAAAGTTAAGCTGCACATGGCCAAGAGGCTGTGACTGAGACAATGGGATGGTGAACCACGTCTGCTTTGAGCACATCCTTCACTGAGCTCTGCACTTCCAGCAATTAATGTACAGAACAATGACAAAGGCACACTTTTACCTGAGCTACATCTACACACACAGCTGCTCTCTCCACAGCTGTCCCTCTTCTGGGCACACACTTCTACCCTGAAATAGACTCACAACATATCCAGTGAAATACTCCCCATCTTTTATGAGCAAAGCATTAATTGCCACAAACCTTTGGGCATTCAGATACTTCTCTCACTGTGTCTGCCTCATGCTTTCTCACCTTCATTCTTCCTACAAATTAACAATAATTAACAGGTGGGCTTATGTCCTATCTTAGAAAGTAATAGTGACAATCTTACCCCACTAACTTCCAAAAAAATCCCACTGATGTTATGTTCCAATTGCAGCTGTTTGAACTGCTGAATTTAGAGTTCTTTTAGAGCACTTGTTCTTCAGTCTTAGCAAGCCAGGATGAGCTGAAGGTCAAACGACTCCAGTGCAGGGCAGGGAAGGCTGCAGACCTCAGTGCCCTGAGCTCAGTGTCCCCAGCTGCTCCCTGCCCACCCCCAGGGCAGAAAGCTTCCCCAGGGGCTGATGCCACAGCAGGGAGCTGGGCACAGAGACATAACCCAGCAGGGCACAGGCTGGAGGGAAACCACAGCACCTTAACCCCAGAGGAGATGCTGACACCTCTGGCAGCTGCTGCTCCCAAGGGCTCTTTGAATGAGAGACAGATATGTACACCTGATTTGCTTGCAGTCACCTGCAGAATTAATTAAACCCCAAAAGCATTTAGAGATCAGAAGGTTTAGCCTGTTGGGAATTTCTAAAGGCTGCCAAATTTAAAAAAAGAAATTCTTCACTTCACACAAGATTTTTGCATACATACATTTCTTCAACCACCTTCCAGCAACAATCTTCTAAACATTAACTCTTCCCTGGAATTCCCAGTATTCCTAGTCTGGCATTCTAAAAATACACCATGCCCTGCTGAGAGCAGCAGCACACTAAAACAAGCCTTGTGTTGAACAAAACAAAAGAGCAGAGCTCCATCTCCATTCTCCAGCAGCATCTGCCAAGCCATGAGCAAAGCTCCCTGGAGCCCCACAAGCCTGGGGTGTTTTTGGAGCCCCACTACCAGAGAACACTCTCACCCAGCCAGGCACTGTGTGCATCTCAGCCCTGCCCTCCCCAGGGGAGCAGCTTCCTCCAGGAACCAGCACCACACTCCTGTTGCTATAGGAACACCAGAGCTGCAAGCACCAAGGTGTCAGCACAATTCCCATCTCGTGCTTCCTCCCTGCACTGCTTCCATTTGAGAGCTGCCAGAGCCAGCCCAGCCTTTGGAAATGCAAGGAGCTGGGGACCAGGGAATATGGGGCTCATGCAGGAGATGCTTCTGTGCACAGAACTTCCTGAGAGGCATTTTGCTTTACTCAAAAATACGTGAGAAAGCCTGAGTTTCATCAGGTGTGAGCTGCGTTAGCTCTTGCTGCAATGCAGGCAGGACCAAAGTGGGAACATCCCAAAACAGCTCAGGATTACATCCCCTCTCCAGCACACACACTGGTTGAACTGAGATGCCTCAGGGTTCCTCAGTTATTCTTGGAGCCATAAAAACAAACAACAAACACTCCACAGATGTCAGCTAAAGAGCTCCCAGAGTAAAGAAAAACATGGATTTTGCACTTTCCTATAGGTGTTAACAATGTCTGAAAAATAAAATGACAATATTACACTCAATTACCATATCCCCTCTTCCAGTAAAAATAAGCATGAACTGAAGGGGAGTCTTAGCCTTCAGGCTTGATTAAAAATTACAGAGACATTCTAACATGCTTCTTGATCCAAATTAACTTCCATTGTGGATCCTTAGACAACAGAGTCTCAAGGAGGAACTTTAAATGTCAGAGATACTGGTATCAGCAGTGGCTCATGGAGGGTTTATGGCACGAGCCTGAATCCAGCAGGGACAACAAAAACACACCCTGGCCCAGTGGGCACAGAGGCTGCAGTGACTGCTGTGAGCAAAGAAGGGGCTCACACAGAGTCAGACCCTGGGCAGGAGCCACAGCAGGGACACCACAGGGACAGGCTCAGCAGCCTGGCCAGGGCACTGCTGCAGAGACACTCAGAACTGTTCACCATCCATCCTCAGAACCCCCCAGCCCAAAAGAACCTTCCTGGAACTGGGGCCAGCCTGCAGCACTTTAAGGGACACACAGAAACCTGCAGGTCCATAACAAACCTCTCAGAGTGCTCAGGCCAGTGGTGATGTCATTCTGGTTTTTGGGACAAAATAGGGATGTGAAGTTAGCTTTGTGTCTTTTGTGCCTGCTGGAGGAAAATGGCTCTAAAGACACATCAGGGACACGTCAGGCTGAGAGCAACCTGTCCTACTGTGGAACAAAAGACTCTGAAATCCACTGAAGTGCTAACTTGGTGTAAGTTACTCCCTCAATAACACCTCTTTTTGTTGTTGTGTAAGACAAGCTGCATAAAGGAAAAAAGAAATCCTCCAGAGAGGATTTCAATGAAAACAGAAAAAGTAGGGAAGAAAATTCCTTTAAGCAATCTTGGAGCAACAGCAGAGTGAGTGTGTGGACGTGCAGGGATTTCCAGCACCAGGCAATGCCATCTAGTGGAGATGGGATCTCCCTTAGGGTGGCACATCCCACACCTATGTCACTGCATTCCCAGGAATTCCATGCTCAGCCCTTCCTGCTCCTCTGACCCCAGGACACAGCAGAGAGCACAGGCAGCAGGAAGCAAGGAGCATTATCATTACTGACTCAGAGAAACCTGCAGAGATTTCTAAGCAAATCCAAGTCCTGAGCAATAAATTATAGCTGCTTCTGTCTGTAGAGCACACTACAGCTTCAGCACCACTGCAGAAGTAACTGTGTCCCCTGGCTGGACTTCTGATTTTATTACCTTTTCTTTGCCAAAGTGCAGGTAATTCAGCACAGATTTCACTGGGAGAAATGTAACTTTAAGGAAAATGCTGAAAAATGCCAAGTCTCCCTTAACTGAATGTTGTCTTCCTCAGTTTTTGACAAGAAACAAGAAAATTCTCACTTTAGACTGGCAGAAAAGTTGTGTATTTTGGCTCAGAATTCTTCAAGCACATCCACCTCCATCAGCCCCCAGCTATGCAAGGAATGAGCACAGCACAAGTCTGTGCAGGTGTGTTTGTAATGGATTTCCACATGTCTCAGATCTATACTACATTTCTGCTCAGATCTTTCTGGCACGAGTCTTAAGATGTTCCTTCAATTCCAAACTGCACTGCATGAAGGTGAGCTGGCACGAGGGCTGTGCAGGGGGGGAGAGGAATCCACTAAGAAACATTCAGGTTCAGAAGAGATTAGTGGACTCAGAGCAGCTCCACACAACTTGTTTACCCAGACTTCTGCAAAGAACGAACAAAGCCAGCCTGCAGGATGGGTTTCAGCAGGTGCCAAGGGATTCTGGAAGTCCAGGAGGCTGCAGGTGCTGTTTTCTGAGGCTGCTGGCCCAGGGGAAGCAGCTCCGGGGCAGAGGGAGGGTGCAGGGGGCACAGGGCAGCACTGGGGGGCACAGGAGGGGCACTGGGCAGCACTGAGGAGGCACAGGGCAGCACAGGGGGCACAGGGGGAGCACTGGAGGACACAGGGCAGCACTGGGGGCAGCACAGGGCAGCACGGGGGGCACTCACCCTGGTCGATGGAGTGCTGGGGCAGCTGGCTCAGCTGGGGGGCACTGGGGGGGCACAGGGCAGCACTGAGGGGGCACAGGGCAGCACTGGGGGCACTGGGGGGGCACAAGGCAGCACTGGGGGCAGCACAGGGCAGCACGGGGGGCACTCACCCTGGTCGATGGAGTGCTGGGGCAGCTGGCTCAGCTGGCTGTTCACCACCCCCGCGTACGTGCGCAGGAACTCCTCCTCGCTGGCCGTCAGCTGCGGGCACAGAGGTGACAGAGGTGACACCTGAGCACTCAGCAAAGCAGAACCCACCCCAGCAGGCACAGCTCCCAGGGACAGGCACCACAGCACCTCTGCTCTGCTCCTCACCACCTGCAGCCAAATGGGACACCATGAACTCATGGGCAGGTTCAGTGCCACCTTAAACCAGCTGCTTCACTTGGCTCTTCTTCCAGTAATGAGGAACTTGAAATAATTTATCTATACATGGTAGTTCCAGGCATCACAAGCCTTATAGTATTTCAGCAAAAATCAATTGTGTTTAAGTGATAATTCAACAATTCAGCATTAAAACCAGACCGTCACCTGCCCGTCTCAACAAGCACCACCCCAGTTAGTCCAAAGTGGCCTGAAAGCCCACAAAGGATGGGCCACGAGGTGCATCTTACGTTTGATCCCATCTTCCTGAGCATGAGCAGGACCCTCACTTTCTGCTGGATGTACATCTCCTCCGGACTCTTTCCGGGGACGCCCTCACGGTTCATTCCCCTCCTGCCAGCTCCTGGATTTCCTGCAGACACAAAATCAGGAAAGCACAAACTACAATGGGCAATGGGGTCTAACCGAGGAAAAGTTTCATTTCCAAAAGACCTGTTTTTCACTGGATATCCTGGGAGAGTAAGGAATCACATCCTTCCCCAGTGAAACCCTTAAAAATGTCAGCAGCTAAACTGGGCCCTACAAATGCAACTGAAGCATTCAGAGGCTCCTGCTCACATCCCCACAGCTCATTATCTGTGGTTATGTTACTGCATGAGTAGAAAAGGAATTCTAAGAACTAGATGAAAGAATCATCCTGACAGAAGAGTCCGTGGTTTGGGGTTTTTTCCATAAATAAGCACAAGCAGAATGAAAACAGGATGCAGAATGCACAGCCATCAAGCCCACAATGGCTAAACAAAAGCTGTGTGAAATCTAAACTCTTAAGTCTTCCTCCTCTTTTTCTTTTTTCCTTTATATATCATATGAAAAGGCCATTGCATTACTGTAAAAATTACTAAAATTTATGAAATGGTTTTGGAGAGAAAGCAGAACTAAGAGGAGCAGGGAAATAATATAATTTTCAAGTTGAGTTTTTGCTTCTTATTTTAATAAAGATAATTATGCTATGGAATAAACAGACTGTGCTATCTAAATTCTATAGCACAAAGCATGATTGTTATATGAGTATCTGGTAATTATTTAAGTTCCAAAACAGGGTATTTACCACGACAAAAAACCCCATACACTCAGGTATTCTCTTCAGCTGCTCTCAAAAACCATCTTGAACCATGTTTATTAAGCCAACAATAGTAAAAACCTTAACCTGAAATGTAAAAACGAATGGTGCTTCAAACAGCACACAACTCCAGCAGTGTCACAAACCCTCCCAACCCCTGAGCAGGGCTGTGTGGAGGAGAAATGCAGCCCTGAAGGGACCCCACAAGAGGATGGAGAGGGACTGTCTGCAGGAGCCTGCAGCACAAGGGGGGTGGCTCCACACTTATGAGAGTGGGTTTGGGTGGGAGATTGGGAAGAAGAGCTTCCCTGTGAGGCCCTGGCACTGGTGCCCAGAGCAGCTGGGGCTGCCTGGATCCCTGGCAGTGCCCAAGGCAGGCTGGGCACTGGGGCTGGAGCAGCTGGGACAGTGGGAGGTGTCCCCATGGCAGGGGTGGCACCAGAGGGGCTCTGAGGTCCCTTCCCACCCAAACCATTCCATGCTCCCATGAGTGGATGGGGGTGGGACTCAGCCACTCCTGCACCACACGCACCTCAGAGAAGTGGCTCCAAACCAGGTCCTCAAGCACTTTTCACTCCCAGAACTGGGTCTGGTCCTACACCAGCCTATAAAGGTGATTTCCTGGACCCCAGTACTGAAGGGAGCCCACTACACAAGGCCTGCATAGGGAAAGCTGTATCCCAGCAGGTTCTAACACAGTTTTCCCAGTAATGTTTTCCTGCAGTCATTACCAACCTCTCCTCTCACTTCATTTCCATTATTACTTTTAAGGGAAAGTAATCTGGGTGTGGAAACTGTTTAAAATTACACAGAGGCCCTCCTGAGTGAGTCAGAAGTAATGCAAACTTCAGCAGCAGCTGCTGGGACAGGCTTTGCCACCCACACTACTGAGCATGGAGATAACAGCAGTAAAAAGTGAGAAAGATCCATCACCAGTCCTTCTTGAGCATGTTTCAGTGGGAAGATCTGCATGAAGCTGATTTGCTGTAGATGGCTCTGCTTGGAAACCTGCAGCCTGTACATGTGCAAGGTGATGACTGTTGGGGCTTTTTACACAACCAGCAAGCTGCTCTCTGAAGGGGGAATTCAACAACCCCTGAATTTTGCCTAGTGTCAACTCAAGTAAGTAAATTGGATTATGCTACTGGGTTTATACTCCACAGTGCAATTTACTGAGTGCTAACAAGGGATGCCAATAGTAAGGCAATGAACAAAATAAGATATTGAGCAAGAGACATTGAGTTATACACATCCAGAGACTGATAAAACAATAAACATTGATCAAGATATCCAGTCAGTCTGAAAGGTAGGGACTGGCTCTTAATATTGTAAATACTTTTCAAAAAATATTGTACTTGAAAAGGGAAGCTGCTGTACTAGTAACCAATCAACCTAAACAAGAAAAATCATGTCAAGAAAAGCTGAAATGCAGTAAGACACCTATTGTTTAAAAATGAAACAAAATGGATGGGATATCAGTAGGTGGCACCATCCACAAGCACCAAGAAAATGCCACAGCTGCCCCATGCCAAGGAGGAGGACCCACTTCAGCACTGCCCTGCACGTCAGGGATTACAGGACCTGGCTTGGTTACTGTTCACTGTTTCCACCAGAACTATCTTCTAGTTGTTTATTAATGTTCAAGCTTTAAAAAGGGGTGGTGGGAATGCCTATCTAAGCCTGGCTCTTGTGAAGCAACCTTCAGCCAAGATGGGGTTGTCACAAAGCCACCTATTTAACAGCAAAGATAAAAATCATAAAGCCTGCCCATTCACTGAATGCTTCACACAACCAGGACGCAGCATGGGAGGAAAAAGCACTCAATATGGCTCAAAAAATATGCACAGAGAGGTAAACCAAGCTTTCAGAGCAACAGCACTTTGCTCTCCCCACACCACACAATGACCCTGCCACCACAGCCCTTCCTACTCGATGGCACCAAAGTGAAAGGTCTTAAAACAGCACTCAGAGCCCAGCCTGAGAAATGTGAATATCTCTGTTTTCCTGTTACATAAAGCTTTCAGAAGACACAGTTTAGGATGACAACATTACCCAGCATATGCTACATGAGAAAATTTCCAAACCCACATACAAAGCTGGTCCATGCCCAGAAGACAGCACGATCCACATTTGCAAATGAAGGACTGGAAAATCTTTTCAAAACACTTACCAACTTTGTTCTCTCCAGAAAGCTACAGCAATATGCTACACATGATGAAATGTTCCTTAAGCAGCGTTTCCCTGCCCCCACAAATCCCTCTGGCTCAGGGATGAGTGGTCACTGCCCCATCCCCAACCAACAAAACACCAGATTCCTGTGCCAACGTACCTGCTTCTAGAAACCACAGGAGATCAGATAATCCACGTGTGCAGTCCTGATCAGTGACTGGAGCTGGGAAAAATGTGTGAGGGAACTGCCCTGCGAAAACAAATGAGCAAAGAATTACAGAACATCCACAGCTGGACCCCAGGAAGATCCTTAATTCAACACACCTTCACTCCCTGCTTCAGGACACGCTCTAGGTAAAAATCAAAAAACTGCATGATTGTTTGGAGCTGTTAAACATAAGAACTTTTTATTTAAAGTTTTTAAAATCAAGCCATTCTTCAGCTGCAAGATTTCCACCCTGACCATAGCAATGACATTGCCAATCACTTGGGAATGAATTGCACTCAAGCTTTGCATTCTTTAGGAAGCTTTCGGCACAAAACCCAGCTGAAGCATCCTGGCCCCAGCAGAGAAGCACGGGGATCTCAGCTGAATGTCTGGGAATCGTGTGGCTGGCACTGCAGGAAGAGAGGCCAAAGGCTGGTTAATGCAGAATGCACTCTTCTATCAGATCTGGAACTGGTCTCTCCAGGTGAGGGTGAGGCAGATGTGCAGAGCCAACAGGAACGTTTGGGCTGCCTGTGCTCACCTCTGGCAGCAGAACGTGGATCTGCTCCCCAGTGCCAGTTGTCCATTCGTTTCTCACAAAGAAGACTGACCCACGCATTTCAAAAGCTGCAGTGCTAGTCAGGAATGACTGAATTCTTCACTAAACTCTGTTAAAACACTAAATGCTTCAAGCTTGTCCTGCTGCATCCAACACACTGCAAACGGACATAATTGGGTCACCTAATTCTCCCTTGTTTGCCAGGCACAGGCCATGAAATTTAGTTCTCATTTATTTTTAAGATGATTCACATGACAGAATAATAAACAACAAAGGTCTGTATATTACAGCCAGCACTGCCAGCCCAGCTTTGCCAAACAATCATCCCAGTTTGACAACACTCCCTCCCCTTCCCCAGCATTCAGCAAGCTGTCCTGCAGTCCAGCACCTCCCTCCCCACGCTGCCTGCCGAGGGCTGGGTGAGGATCCCAGGAATTCCTTCAGCTCAGCAAGGCCCAGCACGGCACTGGGCAGAGCCAGGAACGCCTGACATCCCCATCTGTCTCCCTGCAAAGCCTCTCCTGGCTGGGAAAGCTGTGCAGCCCCAGCCTGGGCACACCAAGCACGAGCACCTTCACTCAGCCCTGGGGGCTGGGGCTGCAGGCTCTGGAGGGCAGCAGTCAGAGACCAGAGGGAGCAGACATGGCTTGGGAACGAGCAGGACAGGTAATTCTGCACCCAAAAACACCCGGGCTGCTCTGCAGGGGCATCACCCAAGTAATGAACAGCTCAGGACTTCCAATTGTCCCACTAGCATTAGGGGATACTTCCTCACCTCTCCTCATTGCTCCTTGTTCTGAAAAGTCTCTAATGAAAATAAAATATATTTCTTCCCAAAAATGAATTAGAAGAGCACAGTGGCTTTCTCTTCAATCACTGACCCAGACACAACAGTACCTAATGAAAAATACTGTAACTGCAGCTAGCTTTCCCTTTGATTCTTCTTTCCTAACTAGGTTTAGAACATCAGCTATTGGGGTTTCACTTCAAAAAAATGTAGACAGGAGAAATCTGTACTCAGTCTCAGTTTAACTTGTCTGTTTTACCAACAGATGGAAACAGCTCCTCAGGAAACTCAAGCCTCACCAGCAAGAACTGTTTTGACTGAACGCCTTCAGAAGAAGATTCCAACACACAGCAACTGAAAATTACAGATTTCTAACTGTATTTCCTTCACTTCCACCTACACTGGTGTGAATTCAAAACCTAGAAGGAACTTTCTGCTGGACAATGCCACAGATCAGTTCATAATTAAGAACCCCCAAATTCTTCTCACTCCCCTCCTGTCCTCTTTTTAAATAAACAAAAACTTCACATCTCAAAAGAGACACGCTGAAAGAATTGCATCTTTATAAATTGTGCATAAAGAAGCTACTTAAGCATCCCATTCAGTTTTAAAGCCATGCTTATTTAATGCAATGAGAATGCAACATGAGCTTTTGTTCCTCCAAATTTCATATTCTCCCCCACACTGCAGTCCTCTGTAATGCTGAAATTCCTAAGGACCACATTTTACTGGTATGGGAGAACACAAAGTGCAACCGAGGAATCTGCACAGCCTAAATTAAGGGGGAAGAAAATAAAAAGGCAGTAAGCTGTTGGAAAATGTAGTATTTTACATATTCAGCCTTAATAATTTAGGGTACTTAGAGCAGCCATCTGGCAGGTTCTTTAAAGCCTAAGTCACAGCTGACTACCTCTTTAACATCTTGTAGCATTTCCAGTTATAGCCAAAAGAAACCCAACAGGAGCTAGTTCAGCCACAATTCATTTTTTTGTTGAATCTGACTGGTTCTGTCGAAGGCAGCGAAACCCCCCAATTAATGGGAAAGGATTACAAAGCTCAGCTGAGGAGCCACGGTGAACAAACCCGAGCACTGCAGGCTCCCTTTGCTCCACACCAGCGGAGTTCAGAGCAGCAGAAGGGCCCCTTTGGCTCTCTGCTATCATTAGCAAGGTTAAGCCATTCCCCTCCACGAGCACTTCAGTGCTTAAGCCTGGTCACACTGGGAAGCTTGGAAGTGCAAGGGGATGCTGCCCCTCATTTCAGCCTTGTTAATTTTCAAATGACATTTTCCAGAGAACAGTTAAGAGCCCAAAAAACCTTCCAAGCTGGAGCCTGAAACCTGAAGTCAGGAACCAGAGTCTGCTACAAATTTTCCTCTAATTCATTCTGACTCATGACCTTCAGTCACAGGCAGCTGGAGACTGGATTAATTCCCCTCTCCAGAGGGATACAATGAAGAATTCATAACAGCTACCTATTTATAGGTGAACAGTATGAACTGAAATATTTAACATGGTTTTTTTTTGTCTTCGTTTCTATGTTCAGTGCTACCTTTTAGCTGACTTCAGAATCTGAACCCCAGGGTCAGATTTAGGTCAATTTACTGCTGGAACTCCCAGATGTGGTAGGTTCACATCTCTTAAATGTTAGATTTAAATTTTTAACGAGACACTACAGTCCTCCTTCTTGAAGGAGGACAGGAAACAGCCCCAAACACTGCCATTTATTAATGAAACATTTATGAACACAAGCAGGGGTTTTTCTCCCCAGTGCTGGAACACCTTTCAGAGCTTCAAAACGGGCTTCAAAACTACCAATGAAGTGCATTCCACAGAGCTTCCCAATATACCAAAACAGTTCTTACATCAATGCTCAAGCTGACTTAAAAAATAAATTTTAAAAATCCTGCTATCATAATCAGCACTTTCATGAAATTAAAATGTGCCTCCTGACCTTCAGGCACACACAAACCAGATGATTTCCCCCCACTTCCCTCAAGGACAAGACACCTCTCACATCTCATGCAGCTGAAAGAGGCAGCACAGGGTTTTAGGTAGTTCACGTCAGTCAGCTTGAAGCCTCTGAAATTAAACGTAGTAACAGCAACAAAACCTGAAAAAAAGCCTTTCATTCCACAAAGGTATTCACACTTCAAAGATGAATGTGTCAAAAATTCTTTAAAAGTGACAGTACTTCACAGAGAGCAGTTTATACCCAAATTGCACCCCAGCCCAAGAGACAGCTGCAGTGCTTTACTCACGATGCTCCCAACAGCTGGATGGACAGTGCTGCTCTTGTCCCAACCATGGGCATCTCCCACAGAGGCTCAGGCACCTCTTCTCCTATTTAAAACAAAGCTACAAATCTTCTAGGCAGGAAATTAGGCACTAATGACAGATAGCAAATGACTTAATTACCAGGTATCCCACTGAAGAATTACTGCTAAAAAGTGCTCAGCATCCATCATTAAAATAGAGCAGTGCAGCCAAGCTTTGTGTGGATCTATCTGTAAATATTTTATTTCAGAAACAGAAGATTCTGGAGTCAAACTCCCTGTGCTGGGGTGCCCAACCTCTCCCAGCCCAAGCACACAGTGCTGGGTGCATTTAACCTGAAATGGCAGAGAGCACACGTGGTGGCACAGCAAGGCTTTCTCTCCAGTGTGTGTACATATATCTACATATTTTTTCTGTAGGTATTTATAGGCATTTCTCTGGTACTCATTGACACAGGATGTACAGCCAGACAGGTATTAGTGAGAGCTCCCAGTTGTGCTGCCCTGTAATTTTTACTGACATCTGAACATCATTATTGCCAGGTCACAGCCATTTCACACTGCAAATGCCTATAAATCTGTTATAGTAGCAAGATTATGGCTAACTAGATTTTTTTAAAGGCAATTAAAATGTGAGCTGTTATTAGGTGAGTGACTAGTTACCATTGTATTGTTTTGCAACAGTGTATCAAAGTACATTATTAGGAGCAGAGACTCTCAGATTAATAGTTCTTTACTACCAAAATTGTGTAACCACTGGACAGCAACATGAAAGTGTTCTGGCCTCGTACATCAATAAAATCTGCTGTAAGATGTGACAAACACAGCCCTGATGTCTCCTAGTTATCTTGCCTCTTTAGGGAAAAAACCCCCAAACTTCAGTCCTGCTTTCCCCATGGATGCTCTGAATAACGAAAAAAAGCAAAGAAGAGGTTTCAGTTCTGAATCAAGGCTCAATTTTGAAAACCATTTAAAGAGATCTATTATCAATAGCTCTTGCTGTGAGCTGAACTAAGAATTAATGGCTCTTTGTCTAAGATGGCCACATGCCTCAGTCATGTCTGTGGTGCTAACCAGAGCACAAACTCTGCCTCCTCAGTGACCCCGGAGCAGCAGCAGTGCTCCTGGGTAATATGGGCAGGAGACTTTTGCTCCTAAAACCTTCATCAAACAATAATCCACGAGACCTTGCCTAGACAGTGTTCCATAGATTGGTCTCAGTAGAGTATGCCAAGCATGCCAACTTCTCTCTTCTCTGAAGGACTTACTAGAAACAAAAAGCACAAGAGAAGGATTTTTGTTCCTTTCTTAGGTCGCCAAACAAGACTGTGCTGTGAAGGTGTCTGATGGACAGAGGAGGGAGGAAGGAAAGAAGTCCTTGTCAGTTTTAAGAGAGGACTTCTAACATTCACTGGTTTAAA